ACGCCCGGTGGCCGGCGTCGAGGTACTCCCGGCACCACTTCAAGGCGATCTGCACGCCAGGCGAGCAGCACCGCGAGATGACCGTGAAGGTCAACAGCTGCACGGCGCGAAACTCCGCACGCAGGTCGGGGTGGTGCTCCCCCGGCGTCGCCACGGTCCCTCGGGCGAAGCCGATCAGCCCGGCCATCTCCAGCTGGGGCTCGATGGCTTCCTTCCAGGTGAGAATGTCAGGTCGACCGACCAGCGGAGGGGTGACCGAGATCCTGTCCGGCGTAAACTTGAAGTAGCCGTAGCTTGGTGCAATCCCACCCGCCGTCACCTGGGTCGCCGACATCGGCTGACAATCCACTTCGACGCCCTCCGATGTCACCCCGCGAAGAGCCTGCAGCCGCCGACGACTGCATCCCTTGCGCCTGAACGCCGCTGACTTCACCGGCGTGTATCACACCTCGTTGCCTCGACGTGCCTCCAGCACTGCTGCCGACTTGACCACCACCGGCGTTGACGCCCACGTCGACGCCGCCTTCGTTGTTCACCGACGAGGAGAGGCAGGTCGAGACGGGTGCTCCGTCGCCCACATGGAGCGGAGTCCAGCCTCGACGACCGGCCAGGGCAAGTCGCCATACTCATTGGCCTCGTGCTTCCTCCTCGCGTTCTCCAACCGTGCCTCTAGGGTGTCCACCACCCCCGCGTCACCTACGGCTCCTACCATAGTGACTACAGCACAGTTGCCGGCCTGCAACTACGAAATAGGTAAGTGGTGTCTACGTCGACCTGACTGAAAGGTAAGTCGTGTGCCGTCCACGCTCACCGCACCATGCGGAGATAACTGCAGCAACGGGAGCTAGGCTACGGGTTAGGCACGTGTGCTCGTGTGATCTCTGCGTTCTCTGTTCCTTAGTCGTTTTCCTTGTACGCACACTACTTGCTAGTTCACGGGGAAAATTGGCAAGAGTTTCACTAGGAAAAGTTCAGAACAATGGGTACAATGAAGTTGGCAATGCAAGACTACATCAGAGCAAGCATTCAGGTCGGCCAACTGCCAGCGCAGCTTGGTCGACCGCGTTCCAGCACGACTTCGTCGACCGCGCTCCAGCAAGGCAAGGTCGACGGCGTGCCAACGTCGCAGGTTGACGGCGTGACAGCGTTGCTCATGCAGGACAGCAGTGCACCCTGCTTCGCAGTTGTGCGCAGATGATTGGCGCGCAGAGTCTTGTCACCTGCACAGCGCACACACCACGTCAACCTCGAGCTGACGACTGCCTCTGATCCGCCACGACGACCTCGGGATACCACCACCGAGGTCGGGCTCGCCAACTTCGCCTGGGCGACCGTCGCACTCCTCCGCAGCACTTCGTCACCCAGGTAACCTGGTCGACCAGGCAACCACGTCGACCAGCAGCTTCCGTACGTGCCCGTCGACCTCCCAAGTCGACGACCACCTCCACGTCGACCTCACCAGGTCGACGACACCATCGGTCGACCTCCTCCAGGTCGACATCCCCTCTGGTCGACCAGCTCCACGTCGACCAGCACTGCTGGTCGACCTGCTCCTCGTCGACCAGCACAGTCGTCGGCCGACCACCCACGTCGGCCACCCGAAGCTGGCGTCACGAAGTTGACGCCCCGCTACTCGACGCCCAACTGCTCGGCGTCCTGAGTCGAGGTCCACGTCGGCCCCTCCTTCGTCGACCACCAGGTCCAGTCGACCACTAGCAGGTCGACCAGCAGTCCGTTAGCCGACTGCCGAAGTCGGCTTCCCCAAGTTGACGTCACCAAGTTGACGTCCTTCGCAGGTCGACACCCAAGTCGACCTCCCTGAAGTCGGCGCCCGTGCAGTGGTCCCCCGTGCAGGTCGACCTCCTTGTCGACCAGCTCACCCACTGCTAGAGGTCGGCTGCTCCCCTCACACCCGACCACGAGGTCGGCTCCGCCCAAGCGAGGACGGGGCCAATACACAACTCCCGTTGACACCCGTCAGCCGGGGCCGAGCCTGTACACACTGACTACTGAGTCTCCTCCAGTCAGTGAGTCTACTCAGGTAGCCGCTGTCGGGTCAGGTGTTTGCTGCAGCGTCCAGGTGTGGTCCTGAGTCTACCCCCTGCTCGTGTCCTCTCCTGTCTCACCAGACTCTCCTCTGGCACCACCACCTTGGTCACCCCTCCCTGCCTCGCCTTCGGGGCATGGCCTCCCGTGTCCTTGTCTCTGGTCTCCCCCGGTCTCTCCCTCCCCTTCCTCCGGGGCCTGCCCCCACCTGCGTTCCCTGCGTCGAAGGGCGGCAGCGCGCTGCTCCTCACTCCTCCGAGTTTCCTCCGACAGAGGCTCCGCTGCAGACGCTTCACATGGACGTGTGGGGCCTAGCCCGCGTCCGTGGACAAGGTCACGAGCGTTACTTCCTGCTGGTGGTTGACGACTACTCGCGTTACACCGCAGTCTTCCCCTTGCGCAGCAAGTGTGAGGTCACTGAGCTGTTGATCGCCTGGATCCGCGCAACTCGTCTCCAGCTCAGAGAGAGTTTCGGCTCGGACTTTCCTGTTCTACGTCTGCACTCTGACAGAGGTGGAGAGTTCTCCTTCGACCTTCTGCGAGCCTACTGTCGTGCACGAGGCATCCGTCAGACCTTCACGCTTCCGGACTCACCGCAGAAAAATGGGATTGCTGAGCGCCGCATTGGCATGGTCATGGACGTCGCTCGTACGTCTATGATGCATGCGGCTGCCCCCAATTTTCTGTGGCCGTTTGCGGTTCGGTACGCGGCGCATCAGATCAACCTTCAGCCCCGGGTCTCCATGCCGGAGACCTCCCCTGCCTTGCTGTGGACGGGGAAGGTTGGCGATGCGTCTGCATTGCGTGTCTGGGGATCTCGGGCGTTTTTCCGCGACTTGTCTGCGGACAAGCTGTCCCCTCGTGCTATTCCCTGTGTCTTCCTTGGCTTCCCCCCTGACGCGCCGGGCTGGCAGTTCTACCACCCCACCTCGCGCCGTGTTCTGTCCTCCCAGGACGTCACGTTTGACGAGTCGGTCCCCTACTACCGTCTCTTCCCCTACCGCACTGCGTCCCTTCCCCCCCCCCCCCCGCCGCTCTTCCTTACGCCAGGTCCCCCTCCGTTAGACCCCCTCCCCCCTCAGGGTCCTGCCCCCTCAGGTGTGTCTGAGGTAGACGTATTCGACCCTGTCGAGGTAGCTGTTGACTCTGGTGTTGCTAGGGGTGCTGAGCCTGCAGGTGCTGGGTCTGGGGGTGCTGACTCTCTGGGTGCTGAGCCTGGGGGTGCTGACTCGAGGGGTGCTGAGCCTGGGGGTGCTGACTCTGGGGGTGCTGCGTCTGGGAGTGCTACGCTTGGGGGTTATGAGCCTGGGAGTGCTGCATCTGGGGATGCGGAGTCTGAGGGTATTGGACCTGCTCGTGTGGCGTCTTGCGGTGCTGGGCCTGGAGGTTCTTCAGGTGCTTCATCCCGGCGGGAGCTACTCTCTCCGCAGGAGCTGCTTGAGTGGTTTGCCCGGCGCTGGAGGAGTGCTGCTGGAGCTGGAGGTACTGCGGGCGCTGGAGGTTCTACTACTGCTGAGGGTGATGGTGCCGCGGGTCCCGGAGGTGCTCGTACTGGGAACACTGGAGCTGCTGGGCCTGCGGGTGTGTCTAGTGCTGGAGCTGGTGGACCTACTGCGTCTTCTGGTGGTCCTGCTGGAGCTGGAGCTGCTGATGATGTCACCCTATACAAGGACGGGATTCCTAATAATAACCCCGCCATTTCAAACACCTCCTCGACGATTTCTCGCCTAACCCGTGACTGTCTCGCTGGCGTCCTACGTCATCTCACCGACCCGCGTGACGTCATCTCCGCCTCCCTCGTCTGCCGCCTCTGGCACCAAACCTTCCGAGAATCTACGTCCCACTTCTCTTTAGTGTTCTGCTTAGAAACGCTGACGTGGCGGCCGTTCTTCCGCGACGTGAGCGGCTGTAGTTTCCTGAACCCGTGGGAGCCAGGCGTGACATGTAACTCATCAACGTCCGGTTCAGTTCCGTCAGCCTCAGTTTCCGCTCCGTCAGCATCCGTCCCAAATTACGTCAGCCTCCGCTCGCAACATCCAACGCCTTGGTTTCTGGACGATATTAATCTCCTACAATCAGGGCCTCCTCTAACGAAAGTTTGCAACGACTTACATTTCAATGCACGGCATACTGATTTGGATAGTAGAACTGCAGTTGGCAACAACAACAACAACAACAACAACAACAACAACAACAACAACAACAGCAGCAGCAGCAGCAGCAGCAGCAGCAGCAGCAGCAGCAGCAGCAGCAGCAGCAGCAGCAGCAGCAGCAGCAGCAGCAGCAGCAGCAGCAGCAGTAGCAGCAGCAGCAGCCGCACGATTGAAACCAGGATTTCGCATACAGATGCCTCGTCGCCCAACCTTCCACCTCATCCCCTCCTCTCCTCTCGCCCTCTCCCTTCCATTCCCCCCCTCTCCCTCTTCTCCTCCTCTATCTCCCTTCATCTCCCCTCCCACCCAACCTGGTCACCCCGCCGCCTCCCCCTCCTCTCCGCCTACCCCAACCTCACATCCCTCCTCCTCCCCCTCCCTCACTCACTCACCTCCCCTTCTCACCTCGATTCCCTCCTCTCCTCCTCCCTCCCCGCCATGTGCCCTCACCTACGCACCCTCCACATACAATTAGACTGCTTGCAGGGGGACAGGGGATATGGGGTAGAGGGGGATGGGGAGCTGGGAAGAAAGGGGGAAGAAGGTGTGGAGTTGGGGGGAAAGGCGGAAGGGGGGGAAGAGGAGGAAGAGGAGGCAGAGAGAGGGGTCTGGGGAATGGGGTGGAAGGAGGGTGGAAGAGCAGAGGAGAGGAAGGGGGAGAGAGGGGGCGAGAAGCAGAGAGAGAGTAAGAGGGATAAGAGGGAGAGGAAGAGGGCAGAGAGGAAGAGAGAGGAGAGGAGTGAGAGGGAGAAGGAGCAGGCTCACGAGCAGCAAAAGAGCACTTGTTGCAACAGCGTCCCAATGATGGTAAACGGAGTACAGTCAACCGTTCTGGACCTCTCACCGAGCCTGGAGCGTTTGCTTCGGAAATGTCCGAACCTCCACTCGCTTAACTTCCAAGCGACACACACTTACTTCTTCCTTTCCCCCTCCCCTTCCCTCCCCCCCCCTCCTCTCCACCCTCACCCAACTCTCTGCACCAATCTTCCACCTCCCTCCCTCCCTCCTCCTCCACCTCCCCTCCCTCACCTCCCTCTCTCTCACACTCCCTGTCGTCCTCTCTCCCCATCCACACCCGCAATACACCACTCTCTCAACCGATCCCATTCAACACCCTCCTCGTTCAGCCGGGCAACTGACCATACCAGCAGCAGCCCTGAGTGTCTCACAAGCCCTGAGAGTCTCACAAGCCCTGAGCCTCCCAGCAGCCCTGTGCTCGCCCGGTCCCTTCCAGCACCTCTCCTCTCTCACGTGCCTGCGACTGGATCTGGTCCCATGCCCCGAGGCAACAGTCGGTGAAGCTCTCACTCGCCTTCAATCATCTCCATCGGACCAGCACCCCCCTGTGGAGCAGCAGCAGCAGTACCATCACCAGAGGCAGCACCAGCAACAGCACCACCAGCTTCTCGTTCTCCCCCCAGACATCTTCACCAGTTTGCACCGCTCTCTCCGCTCACTGCACCTCTCCTCCTCCCTGCCCATCGTGCCCCCACCTTCCCTGCACGCCCTCTCGCGCCTCACCTCCCTCTGTCTCCACTCACCAGTGCTCACCTCCCTCTGTCTCCACTCACCAGTGCTCACCTCCCTCTGTCTCCACTCACCAGTGCTCACCGCCAATCCTCCCCTTGCTGCTGCTGCTGCTGCTGCTGCTGCTACTGGGGGGCGAAATGGCCTCATGGAAACGGCGCGTTTTGGTAGGAATGGTACTGGTGCTCGTGCTGGTTCTGGCGCTGCAGTGTCTGTTGGAACCGGCGTTTCGATTGGCCGTGACGTGGTCATCGGTAGCCGTCAGATGAACCACAACCACGTCACAACTAGTAATGGTGATAGTGATGGTGATGATGATAACGACAATGAGCGAGACAACAGTACTCATCTCCCTACCTTCCCTACCTTCGCTTCATCACACCACTCCCTCCTCTCCTCCTTCCCCCACCTCGCCCACATCTCTCTCCATGACTGCCCCTCTGTGCCCCCCTCTCTCCTCTCTCTCGCCCCCCACCTCACCACCCTTCACCTCCCCCTTGCCTACTCAGACCCAGACCAGGTCATCCCTCACTTAGCCTCGCTATTGACTCTCTCACTAGGAGCCCTTGCAGTGCTACAGGACCGCTCCCCTTTCCCACCTTCATTACAGTCCCTCTACGTCTGCTCTACCCCATTACCGCCTGCATTATCTGTAACACACACTCATACTAACACTAACACTAACACTTACACCCTCCCTCCTCTCTACTTCCCCCATACACGTTCCTCCTTCCCTTACTCTTCGTCCCCCCCTGCCTCCCCCTTGGTACTCCTCTCTCTCCAAACCTGGCACCTTCCTGAACCTCCTCCATCTTAGTATGGAAGGCGTTGCTTTAGCTCGGCACATCCCGGACCATGTCTGCCTCTTTCCGAGCCTCCGCGTCCTGAAGCTGCGGAGGGTCGGCGGCAGGTTCGGCTTCACCAGCAAGCAAGGCTTGGGAAAGCTTCCGAACCTGACCCATTTTCTGGGGGCACACAACCGCAGCCACAACAAGCTCCTCTCCCTCTGCCCACAAATCCATTTCAATAAAGCATATAAACCCGCCGAATATGTCCCTTTAACTGTTCTACCATCATTGCGCACTTTGGTAATTGATCATTACCATATCCAATCGTGTTACCTGTGGTCCCTCTCTCGGTTCGGGTCGCTCCATACGCTTCGGATCACGAACCTCCAAGTGCTGGCTCGGGGTAGGCCTGGTAGAATGACATGTCCACCGAGCCTGACCACCCTGCAGCTGGTGAATATTCAAGATACGGAGCTTCCAGGAGCTTTGTTACACTTTTCTGGAATACGAAGATTGGATTTGATTGAGTGCTGGAAGTTGGAGGCGCTTCCAGTGTTCCTCACAAGGTTTGAGAATCTGATTAGATTAAATATTGAGGGCTGCACACGGAGGGAGCTTCGATGTCGTTGTAGTTATGTGGAGACATTTTTACAGGGGAGACGGTTTTATCAAGGGGAAATGGTGAAGTGTAAGGATGTTGACGAGGAGAATGATTGGTAGTCAAGGTGAGTCCTATCCTGTCTGTGGTGAACCGGTCCGTGCTTTGATTGAACAATGGCGCTTTAGCCTGTACCCACACCTACATCTATAAGATTGTTGTGTCTGATTACTGTAGGTAATCGACTTGTCAGTAGTATACCGTACGCAAATACACTGCAACTACTTCTTCCGCTCAATCCCTTTGGATCTGGAGACACCGAGTCCTCCACGACATGACTCCTCGCTGACATCACGCATTTGCCAGGCCCTTGTCCTCAACGGTCGAGTGAGTACCCGTACACCCAATCACATAACAGCACGACCACGGCGCGAGAGGTCGCCGCCGTGGCGTTGCTCTCACACAAACGTCGCGTCGCGACGCGACTCGCAGCACGAAATTTTACTCCCGTCGTCGTCGGAGTGCTTTGAGTGGAGGTGAGATCATCGCGGCGCCGTAGCTGCGTAATCTCAAGAACAGGCATGGCGATACCATTACGACGACGGAGCCAAAAGTCGGATCAGGAACACTCATCAAGAGGAGCGGAAACAGAAGGAAGAGAAGAAGCGAGGAGCTAGCGAGGAGCAAGTCAAGAGCTGCGTATGTTTCTTGAGAATTCTCAAAAAACAGAGAAAGGGGGAGAGGTGGAGCTGTAACCCTCGCACTCACAGATGAAAGTGCCAAGACACTCGGGAGTTCCAGTGGAACTGCCAAAACTGTCAGGGGAAGAGGTTCACACGCTGATTGAGTCAGAAGCAGCCTGCGAGCACGCATGTGACGTGCGGCTGAAGCAGCGTCTTCTGAATCTGCCAGCCTTCCAAACCCTGCTGCGCTCCTACGCTGCTTGCCTCAAGGTGTGCCTCTCATGCACCCTTCTGCCTGCCTGCTTGCTCCAGCCTCCACCGAATGCCCTCTCGTGTCCCTTCTCAATTCTGCACATTCTGATATCCTACTCTCCTCTCAGATCCCATCCCCTCTTTTCCCTCCACTCTCCCTCGCGCCTCCACCCTCCTCCATCCCCCCCCATTCTCCCTTTTCTCTCAACTCGACCTCCCATTCCACTCGCCCTACTGCACTCCACCAGATCGGAGCGTCTCCAGAGTTCCTGGCAGCCGTTGATGGCTTTGATCCTGTGGCTGCGCTGCAGCTGAAATATCCCAGCGCCGATAAGTCCAACCACACCAGCAGCACCGATGATCTGAAACAAGCCAGGGCTGATGGATGTGACAAGGGAAGCAGCCGTGAGGAGGAGGAGGAGGAGGAGGAGGAGGAGGAGGAGGAGGAGGAGGAGGAGGAGGAGGAGGAGGAGGAGGAGGAGGAGGAGGAGGAGGAGGAGGAGGAGGAGGAGGAGGGACTGAGCCCACCAGTCAGTGGGGAGGGAGGGTTTAATACGGCGCCTATCAGCAAATCAGGGGCTGCGAATGGGTTGGGTGCGGTGGGAGTGGAAGCAGGATTAGGGGCACCTCTCGAGGCGGACGGCTTGGCTGGCGCTCACGATCTCATGGTGCGTGTCCTCCTTTCCGGGGGGGGCGAATCAGGAGCGCCAATGGGTTGGGTTCGGTGGGAGTGGAAGAAAGCGTAGAGGCACCTCTCGAGGCGGACGGCTTGGCTGACGCTCACGATCTCATGGTGCGTGTCTACTATTTCTTCCCACACCTTCTCTTTCCTTTTCCACTATCTCCTTCCAGTTGCCTCTCTCTAAAGCCCTCGCTGCGTGCCGCACTCACCTGCTCATTCGTTTTTCATCTCTTCCCACACCTCCTCAATCCTTCCTACACCTCCCCATCCCTTCCCACACCTCCCCATTCATTCCCACACCTCCCATTCGTTCCCAGACCTCCTCCTCATTCTTTCCCACACCTCCCCATTCGTTCCTAGACCTCCTCATTCCATTCTTACCTCCTCGTTCCTTCCCACACCTCCGTCCAGGCGTCTCTCTCTGAAGCCCTCACTGCATGCCGCACTCGCCTGCTCGCAGTCCACACTGCTGCCGAGGCTTTCCTTGCGGACGCGGAAAAAGGCCTCGTGCAGGATTCTGCTGCTGCTGCTGCTGCTGCTGCTGCTGCTGCTGCTGCTGCTCCTGCCGATCTTGGTGATGCTAATGCTGCTGATGCTGGTGGTGCAGCTGTTACTGATGCTGCTGCTCGTGTTGATGGTGCAGTTGCTGTTGCTGCTGCTGTCAACCCTGGGATGTGCAACAGCAGCAGCAGCAGCGGCAGCAGAAGCAGTGATGGTTATGGTGCATTTACCAGCAGTGCAATGGGCAGCAGAGGAAGTGGCGGTTTTCTGGAGGGAGACCAAGACTACATGTATGATGACATCATGGCTGACATCAGCACAAGCCCGACTCTTGCAACGCACAGCCAAGAGCACCACCGTGTTGGCTCACACTTAAAAGCAGATGCCACCAGTTCAGCTTTGCCCGCTGGCAGTTGGGAAATGAAGCAGATTCAGTACGCCTGTCAGTCTGCTCAGGATTCAGTGGAGGGCAGTCGGGGTATGGGGCAGATGGTACAAGGCTTTGATGCTGGTCTTTGCGATCGGGAGCAGGGTCTAGATCGGAATGTGGAGAGTGGGTGTGAGGAGAGGGAGATAGAGAGTGTGGAGCAGGTGGAGCGGGCGGTGAGGGGGCGGTTTGGGGGGTTCCTGCGGACAGTGAGTGCGGAGCATGTGGCCAAGCATGTCAAGGGCAAGCTGCCCGAGGAAGCCACGGGGAAGCTTCTGCGCTGGTGGACCGAGCACGTCAGCTGGCCGTATCCCACCGTGAGTGTGGAGCGTGTGGTTAAACGTGTAGGTGTGTGGTGGAGGTGTGTGGTGGAGTGACAGGTGAGTGGCAGGTGTGCGATGGAGTAACAGGTGTGCGTGTACCGAGCATGTCAGCTGGCCGTACTCAACTGTGAGTGGGTAGTGTGGCAGGTCTGTGTGTACCATATGCTTGTGGTGGAGTGACATGGGCAGGTGTGTGACGCATGTGAAGGGCCATGTGAAGGGCCATGTGAAGTTCACGCGCTGCCGGTGAGGCAACTGCTGAGCTGGCGCATGGGAAGATGGGCAAGCTGCCAGTTGGGATCACGGGGAAGCATGTAGGTTGGTGAAACAACCACCATATCAGCAATGCCAGACTTGATTAGGTTCTCATCTTGTTCTTCTCTGCTGTGTGTTTCCCCTGAATGTGTTGCTGTGTGCCCTCCTGGGATGCAGGAGCAGGAGAAGCTGCAGCTGATGGGGCAGACGGGGCTGGACTCAAGGCAGGTGAACAACTGGTTCATCAACCAGCGCAAGAGGCACTGGAACCAGCACAGCAAGAGGCAGCGCAAGGGGGTGTAGGGCGTGAAGGTTCCTGGTCGCTGCAGTGGGTTGGTGGAAGGCTAGAGGCATATGAGTGATCTACATAGGAAGCCAGAAGCAGAGAAAGGGTTCGAACAAATTTGCACCGCATAATCACCATATACCTATGGGAAAGCAAATCAAGAGGGCATTGTCGAGATGTGGGGGTGGTGTTTGCATGCATACAGGGATTGGGGATGAGGAGTGCACACGGAGATAAACCATTTGTAAGGCCACGCTAAAATAAAATGTAAGAATGTGTAGGCAAATATTTAGGAATGAACGAATCTCAGGTGCTGTGCTGAATAGTTACCTGTTGTAAGGAATTTTCTCGATATTCCTTAGCGCGCCCTGCAACATCGCGTACTGCAGCAGTCGTTCGCCCGTTACTGCTAACGGGGCTTCGCCGACTTCGCGCGCACTGTTTCGCCAAACCTCGCACAGCTGGCCCGGCCGTGTCGGCCTACGCTTCGGGACTAGCCCGAGCCTCGCTGCCAGCATAGCACTAGCTAGCTCGCACGCACCGCGTTACCGTTTGCATGTTTCGCGTATAAATGTTCGCTCATGCCTTCGCTCACATTTTGCACTCGTTTGACACCTTAATTTGAAAGTTGAAACGAGAATGAATGTGAATTCATTGTGAAATTGAGAACGAGAATGAATGAACTATGAAACAGTTGGGTACAAGTACTAACCCTAATTGGGTTGTACCGTCAGCCCCCGGATAGAAGCGCCCCTGGGGTTATAATAAAACACTGTTTTTTAGGGGGTGTGCTTATAATTGAGGAATTTTATAAGCGCCGGCGACTATAAAATGTCAAAATTGAAATGGTTTTTTTTTTTACATGTATTTGAATCCTTTTCAAACGGGGATTCAATCCACATCTAGAACGTTCGATTTGGGGAATGAAACGCGCGTAAAATTGCCAACAAGGCGTGGAATCACGCCCGCCACGCCTTGCTTGCCTGGCCAGATTCATCGTACCGAATCTGGCCCATGCCAACGCACACGCAGTTTAGTGTGCGACTGCCCAATCAGGCCCGACTGTCGTGCTAGCCACGACGCACTACAACCACAAACGGGGCATATGCGGCAAGATTCCTTGCCAACAACGCTTGTGTCAGAATCCCAACCACTAGACCATTGGGATAAAAGGGCTTGTTTAACTAGCGGGTGAGTGCGCCCATAACCCCCCAGGCAACCGTGACTGTAACCCTTCCCTAGGATCAATCGGGGATCACCAGTGGACCTCTGACACCCCCCAGCACTGGGATGCCCGAAGTGCATACACCGGGATTCGAACCCGAGACCTTTGCTCTGATACCATGTCAGAATCCCAACCACTAGACCATTGGGATAAAAGGGCTTGTTTAACTAGCGGGTGAGTGCGCCCATAACCCCCCAGGCAACCGTGCCTGTAACCCTTCCCTAGGATCAATCGGGGATCACCAGTGGACCTCTGACAGCTTGGACCTCACCACATCAGCTCCTCTGCGGGGAGATCTTGACTGTTTCTCCCCTTAGCCTGCAGAGGAACCCGGGCCGCGAAGTTGGAGGGGTCTTGGGCAAGGGTTTCAAACAGGCGTCATTCTCCCTGTTTTTTTCAGATTTCTTGTTTCCCATCGGCCTGCCTTAGCCATGGCGGGCCTACCAGGCACCCATTTCCTCTTTAGGCGCCGAGGTGCTGCTGACAAAGCTCCCGATTACTCCCAGTGGCATAGTCGTCCAGCGCCAATACCTCCTGCTCCTCCTGCGCCTCCTGCTCCTCCTGCGCCTCCTGCACCTCCAGCGCCTCCTGCTCCTCCCGCTCCGCCTAACGTCGTCATCAACGGTGTGCACGTTCTGCAACTTCTCCCTCGCGGCTACTCTGCTTTCGATGCGTACATCACCGAGCCCAAGCACGAGGCCGAGCGCAGCGACGAAGATGAAACCGGTCCCGATCTTTCGCCACGTTGGGGAAACCCGGAAGACTGCCCGCACGACGAATCCGCCACCGGTGCCGAAGACGATGTTGAGTGGTGGGCGGCCGACGGTCTTCCCGAGGACTTGCCTGTACCAAGTTTTCCCCCGCCCAATAAAAAAAGGCCCCACCCCTGCACCCAGAATCGTGATTCCCGCCCCCCGTCTCCCAGGAGCAGGCGCTCAAGGCACAAGCGGCACTCCTATACTTCTCAGTAGAAGCTGCACTGGATTTCACAGCTGGAGTCCGGTGCTGTGAGTGTGCGGAAGATGGCGCGCGACTCTGGTATCTCCCGAAAGTCCCTGGCAGAATGGAAATCGCGGAAGGGTGAGCTGGAGGGCGTGCATGGGGCTCGCAAGCGTCTTCACGGGTGTGGTCGGTCGTCGTGGTACCACGACATGGAGATCCAGGTCTACTCACGAATACTTGCCGCCCGAAAAAAGTGCCTCGCAGTGTCGGTCGGCCGCCTGCAGCAGTGGTCGCAAGAGGTGATGAAGAGCCTGCATCCTGAGGTAAAGTGGGCGGGATCTCAGAGGTGGACCGAGCGTTTTCGACGCCACTGGAATCTCACTACCCGAGCGAAGACCCGTGTCGGCCAGAAACTATCCTCCGGTGAGTGGGTGTTGTTGTCTTTGCTCTTGTTTATCCCCTTTGCCAACCGGTCGATGTGCTAATGTTTTTTTATGGTTTCTGCCTCCCCGTCCCTTCCAGAGTGCGAGACGCAGGTGCGGAACTTCTGGAAGTTCGTGCGACACACCCGCCGACAGTAGGAATCGACAACCGATGGATCATTAATGCGGATCAGACCCCGCTCTGGCTCGAAATGCCAGCTGAACGCACTGTCGAGGAGGTGGGGGTCCGCTCCGTGCCCATCCGCAACGGCGGCTATCAAAAGGAACGCGTGACGGTGATGCTCGCCTGCACCGCCAGCGGCGAGAAGCTCAAGCCCTGGGTGTTCTTTAAGCGCAAGACAGTTCCAAAGGGGAATTTCCCCTCCGGTAAGTCGAGCAGCTTGTGCAGTCCCGGTAGGATTTGCATGTGTTGTTTTTTTTTTACTGATGTCAATCTCAACGTTGTGCGGATGTGCATACGTCGTGGTCGCCGCACATCCCAACGGTTGGATAGACGCGGACGGCGTCCTCGCGTGGCTCGACGGTACGGTGGGCCCGTACGTCAACCCGAGGTTCGGAGTGCGCAGTAGGAGGGCGATGCTGATGCTGGCACCTGACTGATCAAGTGAGGGCGAAATTCGGTGAGCTGCGTCTTGTGCCGGCCGTCATACCAGCTGGCTGCACATCGGAGGTGCAGCCGTTGGACGTCGCGGTGAACCGCTCCTTCAAAGCAGCTGTGCGACAACAGTACCAGGAATGGTTCGAGAGCGAGGGTGTTGACTGCCTGACTGAAAGAGGTGAGATTTAAGATTTAAGACTGATTGTTTTTCAATTATTGACCCTGTTCTAACTGATGAATCTTTCTACGTGTGGCAGGCAACATCCGCAAGCCACCACCAGAGCTGACGCTCAAGTGGATCTCCAAGGCCTGGAAGGCGGTGCCCAAGGAGTTGATTGAGCGCTCGTTTCTGACCTGCGGCATCAGTAACGCCTTGGACGGGTCTCAGGACGGTCTCTGCCTGCAGCACCGGCGGGACGAAGTGGATCTTGACGACGAGATTGCAGCAGATGGATTCTGCTGCAACAACGTAGACGAGCCAGAGTCGGACGGTGAGACCGCCAACGAAGGCACCGCCACTGCTGAGAAGGATGCCTAGGTTATGTAGGTAGAGTAGAAATATGTAGGACGTGAAAATGTGGTAGAAAATGTAGAAAATGCGAAGATGTAGTCGGATATTTAGAGAAAACGTAGTATAGCAGTAGGATACTAGCTGTAACAACATAAAACTTAAAAATCTATTTTTTAAATGGGGGCGCTTATAATGTGTAAGGTAGTAGGGGTGCGCTTATAATCCGTAAGGCTCGAAGCATGCGCGTATAATCGAGGAGCGGATATAAGCGCCCTCATCCTTTTATAAGCGCCGACGCTTATCCGAGGCCTGCGCTTCTATCCGTGGGCTTACGGTACCCCTTATAGGCTACCCCACTACAGCCTACACAAATGCATCAGCTAAAATATTCTCACACACCCCCATAGGCAAAGTGGGAGAGAACAAGGGGTCACAAGACCAGTCAAGCAAAGCAAAGCAAAGCAAGCTCAGGGTGGATCACAAAGTCACCACACATTCCGAGCACAAGGTCAAGGCCACAAGGCCAGTTCACATGCAGGAGTACAAATATATAAATATAAAAGGCTAGACAAGCAAGAGCAGGTGTATATATATATATGTAACAGTACAAGCAAGGTCAAGAGGTAAGCAAGTGATGCAAGGCAGGCACAAGGCCCAGCTGAGTACAGAAGCGCTGATGATCACAAGGCGCAAGTGCCTTGGTGAAGATATCAGCAGTGTTGGCCTCAGAGGCCACGTACGCAAGACGGAGCTGACCACGCTGCTGTAGCTCACGAGCAAGGAAGTCGCGAAGAGCAATGCGCTTCGTTCTGTGCTCCAGTCTCTGCTCTTGACACAAGGCCAGCATGGCCTTGTTGTCGACGTACAGCACTGGAGGAGAACGAGGCGGCTCTCCGAGGTCAGTCAGCAGGTAGGTGAGCCAGCGAAGCTCTTGTGCAGCCATGGCCCCGGCGTAGATCTCAGCCTCACAACTGGAGCCGAGAATAGAAGACGAGCAGGTAGCCCTGCCACGAAACAGAGCCGGAACCAAGGCTGAAGGTGTAACCCTGTGACGACCGCTGCGTAGCCTGGTCGTCAGCCCAAGAAGTGTCTGCGTGCCCAATGAGGACCACTGGACTCTGCCCTCCAAGCACAAGCCCCATGCCCGACATACTGCACAAGTAGCGCAACACCCTCTTCGCTGCAGCCATGTGCTCTGGTCGGTGTCTCCCAGGAGCAACATAGCGTGCCAAAATGCTAAGAGGGTATGCAAGGTCAGGTCGTGTGCATGTCATCAGGTACATGAGGCAGCCAACAAG